AACTTTAATGGAAAGGTACCTCAAAATTTTATCGAGCAAAATGGGTATAGTTTCTAAACCAAAAATATTCTACGCAAGAAATTATATATAACAGCTATACTAACTCAAAATTACTTTGGTCCGTTTTTATTGAAAAACCCCATATATGCATTACAGGCCGCACAAATATATCAATTGACCATTATACATGCTAGATATTCTATAAATATTGAATTACACACATAAAATGTATGATCGTATGGGATTGATAGACCCGAACAATCTTGAGGCATTTCAATTTTGGGTAGAATTACCCTTTTTTTTTTTGACAATGGTATATTTAAAAAGCGGGTATTGGACTCAAATGGTACATTTGTATTTTAGGAATTTTTTAGGATGTTATATTTGTATAAAACGTATGTTGAATGCACTGCAACTCATGGTGGTGCACATCTGAATTGGCTCATCAATTATTTCCTTCAGTTTTTCCTATAGGTTTGAAAGTAAAATCTGTTTTAACTGGAATCTACTTGTTAATAGCAAATTCAAGGTCTGTCAATTCAAAATATAAAATGCAAAATTTGCATTAAATGTCAAGATCCAACAATGATCAAATTTTGTACGCCATATACTGCAGGTGATTCCCCAGTCTTCTAGCATGACTTTATATGGTATTCCAATGTCGCGCACTTTCCTCGCCGAGCAAATGGCTTTGATGGAAAATCGAACATGTACACTTTCAAATTTTCCTAATCAAATATCTCAATCTTCATTTTTCTCTCGCTACGGAAGCTTGCTTTAACTAATAAAACATTCTGGATTTTTTTGTTAGTTCCAAATGCCAACTTTGAAATAATAATTGATTAAATCTATTCATTTCTAAGTCGGTTGCATCCCATAAATTTGCAACCAATGTGAGATTATTATATTACATATTGTTAATGAGATAATAAACTATTGATAATAATAAAAAGAAAACTATTAATTAAGGATCATAAAAACCACTTATAATCCAACAAATAACCGAAAGATATCCGTCCCACTAATATCTGTTTTCCCCGTAAAAAAATCCGATCTATGATTTAAAATTCCAGAAATTTATGGAAAAATTGCCATTGTTGCAAATTCGTGGAAGCATTTCTGGAATTAACAAATTATTTTTTTTTTATAGGTAATATGGAGACAGCACAACTATCTAACTTTCTTATGTGTCCTCTGATATATTTATTAGCCTCCACATGCATCTATGGCCCATATAACTATCAATAAAATAATAATTATTAAAAAGAATTAATAATCTTTTAAACAATAATATTTTGATGTATTAGAAAAAAATTAATTTGCGAAAATTATCTATTTAACTGTAATTATTATTTGCTCAATAGTCTAATTGATTTGAACTCTCAATTTTTTTCTAGCGGACTTTGGTGTGGCCGCTCAACTTTCAATTAGTGGGACTAAAAGAACAACATTTGTTGGAACTCCTGTAAATAATAATAATAATAATAATAACAATTATAATAAATCGTATTTATTAATTTGTTAATCACATGTAAATAGTTTTGGATGGCACCAGAAGTCATTCAACAAGCAGGTTATGATCATAAGGTATACCATATATTTTATTTGTTAGTTGGCCGGTCGGTCAAGATCAAGCGCTTGATCACAATTTAATAATAATAATAATAATAATAATAATAATAATAATAATAGGCCGATATATGGTCACTTGGAATCACTGCTATCGAGTTGGCAAAAGGTGAACCTCCATTATCCGAGTATCATCCAATGAGAGTTTTATTTCTTATACCAAAAGCAAAACCACCAGTTTTAGAAGGAGGCTTTTCTAATTCATTCAAAGATTTTGTCTCCTTGTGTTTAATTAAGAATCCAATTCACGCAAGTGTTTATTTTTATTATTGTTACAGCTTTTTTAGAATTGTGAAAATTGGATTTTTATTGAGATCATCTTTTGTTTTATCAATGTAAAAATAGCGTCCAACGGTAAAAGAATTATTAAAACACAAGTTCGTCAAATCAGCTCGTGGTACCGTGCAATTACAAGAACTAATTGAAAGATTTAACAACTGGAAGATTGATCGACCAAACAGATTAACTAGTGTTTATAAAACAATGTAATATATGTGTGTGTGCGTGCGCGCGTGTGTTTTTATCTACAAATTTATCATTCTTATTGTTTTTATTTTATAACATAGGTCATTTGTTAATAATAACAGTTCAATAGAAAGTTGGAACTTTGAAACTGTTCTAAAAGCGCATAATGATGGTACTATAAAATTAACCCGTGGTGAATTAAATCAATTAGAACAGGTAAATAAATAATTTTGTGGGAATGTAATTTTTTCATATTAATTCACTGATATATAATTGAATTTTTAGATGATTGCCTCCTCTTCTTCCTCCAATGTAATTGACAAAGAAAAAATTGCCGAAACCAACAAATCAAGTATACTTTCTAAATCTATAAATGATGTTGAAGGGTAAAGTTTATAATTTTTTAGATTATATATGTATTCGAATATATCTAAAGTCTATTTATTAATATAATAGATTTGATACAGCAAAAGCACCAAGAAAATTTAGCGTGTCCACAGTATCATCATCATCCAATTCATCTATTTATAAATACTCAAAAAACATCCAGTTTATTGACGCTATTACAGAAGAAGGAATCATATCAAGAAATCTTGTAAATAATATTATTCTTCCATCTGTTCTAGAGGTAAGATAATATATATCATATATCATATATATAACATAAATTTAACTTGTCAATAATTTAATAAATTCTTAGGTTAAATCGGATGAATTAAAGGCATCAGAACTTGAAGCATTAAGTATGTTTGAAAAAGGGGTTGAAGATTTAGACAACAATAACCCTGAATTGGTTTTGTCGATTTTAATAGAAATACTTTCTCAATTAAAAAAGTAATATTGATTGATTTTTCTTTCATTATTTATTTAATTTGTTTATTTATTTATTTGTTAGTCTATTTTTAATTAATTTATGAACTAAACAACTGATCAATTATTTGTAATTGATTTTTTTTCCAGCAATGATGAAATGTGCGAGAAATTATCAGATTTAGGAGTTATTTCAGATTTGCTTATTAATTCATCTTCGTCATCTCCTATAAATTTGATAAATGGTTCTAACATCAATAACAACGAAAACAACGAAAATAACAACAATGTTATAATAATAAATAACAACAACAATAATAACAACGAGGAGGAATCATCATCACCGCCATCACCTGGACTTGGTTTTACAGAAATGATTTATACAAGATGGATTGAACAATTGAAATTTAAATGGTTATGGGGTTAATTAATAATCACTATTTTTTCGTCATAATCATAATCACTGTATTAATAGTTTTTTTAATTATTTCTTTATAATGAATTTAATAAAATTATATTAACAAGAATGTGTGTAACTGACATTTAGGCATTTGGAACTATGTTGAGTGTGAGATTAACCACTCTCTAGAGATATTATTCGTCAATAGGTACATTCTAAAATTGTAGGCCTGGTTTTCATAAAAATAAACAAGGACATTTATCACGGCTTCAAACAAAGTTCTTTGTTTTTCAATTAGAAGAATAGCTGGTTATTCTGATCTTTCTAACCAGCATGTCTAGCTAACTCTTTCAAAGATTTCAGTGCATCTTTTACTGCCAAATAAATAATATGTACAAAAGGGTCGTACATGTTCATAATTTAAAAGACCAAGAACATTTTCCATGTTCTGCTAAAATCATATTCTCACATCAACACGCTACCCTATTTAGAAAAACCTTTGCAAATGCTTTTTTTCTTTTTAATGGTTTGTTTGTGATTTTTTATCTTGCATGTTTAGTTGTGGAGATGAGCATGCCACCTTTTGCCCAAAAATAGTTTCCCTGGATTATTTCCGTTTTGAAGTGATTGATTCATAAATCTCTTCATCATCTGTCTCTCCTGAGTTTCCTTTCTCTTGATAACCTTTTGTTCGTTAGCAGAGAGAAGAGTTTCAATGGCACTGACAGATTAGTTGAAAAGTTTGTTGATTTGATAAAATATGTAAATTAAATCAAGGGGTATCTTATTTCCATACATGTTTCACAATTTAACGTAGCTTTAACTCTTTTTTTTCTGCTAATTCTATGACTTCTTGTACATTCATTTACCAGATTACCACATTTTATCATCATTTTTTTTTTTAACCAATTCCTTTAAAAATTCTCTGCATAGAGTCCATTGTGGAAAAAAGGCACTTGAAGCACGCTACTGATTACAAAATCTTATCTTTATTTGAGTAATTATGGTTTCGTAGCTTAAAGGTTCATCTAGATGGTGTCAGTCGCAAATACATTTCGCAAACAGCCCAATAAGGTAAAAATCTTGGCGAGGAAGAAAGAGATATCCAAATTTTCCTTTAATGTTGATATGCTAAGATATTATAAAAAAAAATTTTTACGTAAAACTAAAATATTTTATATACCAATCGTAATAATAATTATTGAGAAATTGACAAATCTCAAAGCTTAGAGACCCACCAAGAACGCCAATTTGCAAGAAACTTATCCATATTAGTATCTAATGCTACGTACGATAACCAGGGTTCTTGGTTCATTAACAGACCCGGACATTCATCATCAGCCAGTTATCAAGCAATATCCTTGGAGATATTTTTTGAATTAAAAAAAAAAAAAAAAGATTCCTGTTTTAAGACTAGTTTAGAAATGATGGACATTTAAGCATAATTATTATTGTTGGACAGATACTTGATAGGGTAAGTGACAAAAAAAAATTCTTTGTGCAAATTTAGTTTGTTACACGAAAAGATTCATGATCTACATATATAAATAAAACATTGAGTTATATAACAAACAAGAAAAATTTTTACTCGAACACAAAATAATGAATTTGTTAACACCGCAGATAATTTTGCAGAAGATTATACAATTAGAAGAAGAGAAGTCTTGGGTTTAATTAATCAAATCATTAAATAAAACAATAAAATTTAAAAATTCTTGTCATTAACAAATAATATCAATCATTTTATTACAATAATAAAACAAATAAATAAGCAATTAATTATCAATTGACAAATGTAACCAACGATTAATTTATCATTACCTCAATAAAAAAAAATTATAACGTAATTGAAAAAAAATTTTTTTTGTGATGATTATGATGAACTGATATTTTTTGACTATGTTTCAAAAAAGACAAATAAATAATCCGAGTCTCCGGAGACCGTTGCCAACATAACCAAGACTTTATATCATCATTTCCGTCTTCCCTATCTTTCCTCCTCGTCATCTCATTCCAAGCAACCAAGATTTCTTCTATCATTAATTTATTTGATTGTGCATATGAGGGCTTGGGTAACAACAATAATGAAATGATTGTTGTACAAGTTTTTATAACTTTACTAATTGCTTGCCGCTGTTGGCCAACATCCATATAAGACCAGACCGTTCAATCTGTCCCACAAAAATCCCAAGTTGACTTTTGGTATGTGCACTATTATTATCTAATTCTATAACATCAAACCCCCAAATTTTTTATACTTTTTTTTTTTACAAGCTTTTTCAACATCTTTAGTTCTCTATAATAATAATATATTTTTTTATTTGTATTTAATTCAAAAGGTATAAATAAATATATTTTTTTGTTTTTTGCTATTTTGTTCAATTAAATAATTTTATTTTCGTTATTTTATTTCAATCTGGTTTTTTTTCCAATAAAATAAAGTTAGATAATACAATACATTCATCGCGTATTTGGATTTTTTTTTACTTTAAAAGTCTACTTTCAAAAACTTTTTTTTAAAAGCTAAAAACTAATTAAAAAATTCTCTTCGTTCTTCTTTTTTAAAATTATATAGTATTTAACCTTAATTTATCTAAAATTTATATATAAAACATGGATGACGAAGTCGCAGCGGTAAGTCCTTCTATATTTTTTTAATGGAATTTATTTATTCTACACCTTTTATCTTGATACAATTAAGGCAAAAAAATTTTTATTTAAAAGTATTATTTAATCCCTCCAAAAAAAAATTTTTTATTAACAACTATTATTTTTCTTTTTTATTTTGTGTATGCTTGAATACATATATACATATAATTTTTAGCTTGTAATTGATAATGGTTCTGGTATGTGCAAAGCCGGTTTTGCTGGTGATGATGCTCCAAGAGCTGTAAGTGATAATTTTTTAAAAAAATTATGATATTTGTAATCAATCATAAGATCAACGATTCTTTTTTTTCTATAATGTGATAACTTTACTAATCTGTTATTTTATTCTTATTTGCTATTGTTGCTGCTGTTGTTTTATTTTTGCTAGGTTTTCCCATCTATCGTGGGTCGTCCACGTCATCAAGGTGTTATGGTTGGTATGGGCCAAAAAGATTCATATGTAGGTGATGAGGCTCAATCAAAACGTGGTATTCTTACCCTTAAATATCCTATCGAACACGGTATCGTAACCAACTGGGATGACATGGAAAAAATCTGGCATCATACTTTTTATAATGAGCTTCGTGTTGCTCCAGAAGAACACCCTGTATTATTAACTGAAGCACCTCTCAATCCTAAAAATAATCGTGAGAAAATGACTCAAATCATGTTCGAAACTTTCAATGCTCCAGCTTTCTATGTTGCTATTCAAGCAAGTATTCTCCATCCATTCAATTTGCATGCATACACGCACAAAACATGTTGCTGCTTCTTCCTCTTTATCATCTATCCTCCATCCTCCATCCTCCAATCCTCAAAAAAAAAAAAAAATAATAATTATTAATTTTTTTTTAAATCATTATCTTAATAACTAGGCTGTTCTTTCATTGTATGCCTCTGGTCGTACAACCGGTATTGTGCTTGATTCTGGCGATGGTGTTACTCACACTGTACCAATTTACGAGGGGTATGCTCTTCCTCATGCGATCCTTCGTCTTGATTTGGCTGGTCGTGATTTGACCAACTACCTCATGATCATCCTTATGGAACGTGGTTACTCTTTCTCTACTACTGCCGAACGTGAAATTGTTCGTGATATTAAAGAAAAACTTTGTTATGTTGCTTTGGACTTTGAACAAGAAATGCTAACTGCTGCTCAATCGTCAGCGTTAGAGAAATCTTATGAATTACCTGATGGTCAAGTTATTACCATTGGTAATGAAAGGTTAGTATTCTTTGTTTTTTTTAAAAAAAAAATTTTTTTGCTAAAATTTATTAAGAATTTAGAATTATTGATGATTTTTAAATTTCTCTCTCCCCCTCACTTCCTCCTTCATTCATCTATCTCTTTTAAATAGATTCCGTGCACCTGAAGCTCTTTTCCAACCATCTTTCTTAGGTCATGAAGCTGCTGGTATTCATGAAACTACATACAACTCTATAATGAAATGTGACGTTGATATTCGTAAAGATCTTTACGGTAACATTGTTCTTTCTGGGTTAGTATAAATTGTTTAAAAAAATTTTCTGAATACAAATTTGTGTGTGTGTGTGTGTATATATGTATACGTATATATATTCATTTATTAAAATATATTATTTTGTTACCACAGAGGCACTACTATGTATGCAGGTATTGCAGACAGAATGCAAAAAGAAATCACAAAATTAGCACCTTCCAGTATGTTGTTTTTTGTTTTTGTTTTATTGTGTTTTATTTTGTTTTGATAAATATTTAACATATATTAATAAATTATGAAATTTTTTTTATTTTTTAAGCTATGAAAATTAAGATTGTTGCTCCACCAGAACGTAAATATTCTGTTTGGATCGGTGGTTCTATCTTAGCTTCGGTATGTAAATCATTTAAGTTTTTTTTCAAAAAAAGTGCGGTGAATTTTATCTAATTAATCTTTTTTTTTTTATTTTATTTTTTTTAAAGCTTTCCACTTTCCAACAAATGTGGATTAGTAAACAAGAATATGATGAATCTGGTCCTTCTATTGTCCATCGTAAATGTTTCTAAATAAATAAAATAAGATAAAAAAATCAAAAAAAAAAAGAAAGCCAAAATTATTATTATTTTGTGTTTTCTTATTATTATTATTATTTAAAAATTATTATTATTGTTTTAGTTTGTGGCTTCTTCTATTTATATATATATAATAAATACATGGTTATGTTATTATTATTGTAATATTTTATTTTTTTATTTTTTTGAGATTATTTTATTATTATTATTAAAAGCTGTTTTTTGAAATATATATATAATTAATTATAATAATAAATATATATATATATATATACAAATAATAATAATATTCATTATCTATATTTAAATCAAATCAAAAAATGAAAAAAAACTTTTTTTAATTTTATTAAATTTTAATATTTGATGAAAATAAAATCATCGAAAAAAAAAAAAATCTGAATATATACATTCTGTCAAATAATCAAGGATTATTACTACTTTTAGATATTACCCAATAAATATTAAAAATCCTTTTATCATAATTATTAATATTACTGAAAAGGAAAAATTTTATTCTAATAATATTAATAAACTATTATTCAATTACTAAATATGATTCTTTCCATTGGTTATTTATTGTTGGCGTTAGCTTTATCAGATGGGTAATAGCTGTTATTTGGTTCAGAGTAGTAATAACTAGTGGTTGGAGAAGTAGAACAACTTGTTGGTTGAAATAATTGACTATGACATCTTGTGCTTATTGTTGAATTGATATTATTATTTTTAAAAAAACCACGATTTCTTTGGGAGAGACTGGAAGAGTTATTATTATTTTGAATCTTGATTTTAGCAGTGGCGATGTTGACGCGATTAAAAATTGCTGGTGGAAGACTTTGCGTTGCAGGATTTTCCATTCTTTTAATAATGGGAGGACTCTGCTGCTATTTTAACATAATTAACTATATTAATTAATTATTAACTAATGATTATTAAATCATGCATGCATGTTATTTAACAATAAGACTTACGATAACTTCTTGAACATTATTATGATGTGTTCCTCGAATAATAAATACATGTTCCTTATTGTAAAAAATGAACATTTTAATTGTTTTTATAAAAAAATCAATTACACATATATAATATATATGTGTGTGTGAGCGTGGTGAACAAACATACCGATGCCTGTTCCACGGTTAATCTTTTGCTAGGAAACTTCTCCAATAAATTTACAACCAAGTCTCGTGCATTCAGATCAACATTTCTCCATGCAAGCGAATTAGGAGAATTGTCCAAATTAAGTTGAGTAAAAACAATATTTGCTCTTAATTCATTACCTTTTCCTTTAAATGGGATATCTCTCACTAAACACATATAGAGGATCACCCCAGCACTCCACATATCAATGGTTTTGCTGTATGTGAAATGTGCTAAAAGTTCCGGCGCGGCTAATAATAATAAATTAATCAAGTATACATTAATAACACGCATGTACATATTAAATTAAAATGCCATCATAGTAGGCGTTAAATTCATATAATAAATATACCGAATGCTGGTGATCCACAAACTGTAGCGGTGTATTCTTGATCAAGATCCAATATTTTAGATAACCCAAAATCTATAATTTTAATATCAAGAGAACCTTGTTTACACATTAGAATATTTGAAGGCTTTAAATCTCTATGAATAATGTTGTTGTCGTGTAGATACTAATATAATATAATATTGAATAACGATAGATATGTTAACTAATTATTAACTGATTATTATTGCAATATTATCATTATTACCTTCACACCTTCAAGTATTTGAGTAAATACATAACGAGTTTCTTCTATTTTCAAAGCACGACGCTGAATAAGAGTAAACAAATCCCCGCCTTCCATACATTCCATTACTATCATGATCAAATTATTTTCATGAAATGTATTAAAAATTTTTACCAATCTGTGATGATTGCATGTATTCATAATTTTTATTTCACGTCTTAAAGAATCAATCTCTGAATCTGTTTTGTCTTTGATTTCGATGAGTTTTGCAGCGTAACGATTTGGTGATGGAAATTGTGGTAAACACAGAAACACTTGTCCGAAACTTCCCTTTCCTAATAATGTCGTGGTAGTATAAAGATTGTTGAAGGTTCCTGAAGTGTAATTTTGATTAAATTTAAATGTATATTCGAAAGTTCCAAAAGAACCCGATTGAAATTTTACTTCTGTTCCATCTTTTAATTCGCGTTCATGATTTAAACCAACTATATATTTGTCAACTAAAAATTTTTTTGATGATTCATGACTTTTATTATTGATTACTACAACTGGAACGCCGTTAGATATCATCTTATAGACAATGCACACTGGTATTACATTAACTTGACCATCTAATTTCTTGATAAAAAGAAGTATAATGAATAAAATAAAGGAGAAAAATAAATAATAAATAATAAATAATAAATAAATAATAAATAATATAATAAATAATAAATAAAATAATAAATAATAAATATTACATTGAATTGGTATCGTAAACCGTCGTTCGTTACGTAGCCTAAATGTTGACTAGCATCAGTAAAGTAAATCATTTGATCGTTTCTATTTAGTGGTATGAATGCGCCCCATGCTCCATTAGAAAAAGAAGAAGGTGGAGAGGATTCACGTGGAATATTTTGAGGTGGAATACTTTGAGGTGGAATACTTTGAGGTGCATTAAAACCAACTATAGTAGGAATGTTGCTAAGTTGAGTGGTGATAAATTTACAATTACGGGTTAACATTTTTACTGAATTGCTAAATTTTAATATTTGTATTGTATGTATTTATATATGTATATGTATATAATTGGATTTAATATATTTGGAAATATGTAATTGTGAATAAATTCAATTGTATTGTTTAAATGAAAGGAAATGAGAGAGAGAAAGGAGAATAATAAAAAAATTTGATTTTGAGATTTTGAGGGGGTGTATATAAATGATAATCATAAATCTATTTGTGCTATTTGTGATGTCATTTGATATTTGAATTTTGTAAATAAATAAATGAAAAAAGCTTATGAGAAAGTTTTATAAAATAAAATAATAATTGTTTTATACAGCAATAATAATCATTGAAAATCAATCAACTATTTGTTTGTTTTGTTCTTGTAAGAAATATAAAAGGAAAGTCAAGGATTGTAGACACGTTCGAAATCAGAGTTAATGCATGGTAACGTAGTACAATTCAAGCATTATTTAATTTTGAAATATATGTTATTCAAATTGCTATAGTTACATTTCAAATTCTGGTCTTCGTGACGATATAGCCAACATGAAGGTGCTAAAAGGACAGCTCTATGAATAGAATTCAATCAACCCAAGAGAGAGCGAGGCTGTAGGAAGCATTATTAGCCATACAGAATGCTTGATACATGTTTTTTGTTAGAAGCAAAGCATGTGAGGATTTTATTTTATTGTATATATATAAATAGATTGGTCAAGTTTTCTACTAGTTTTTTGTTATTCAAGGTTATACAAATTACTTAGCTGCATATTTTTGATTGTCCAATTATCTCTTAATATTCATGCATGCATGTGACAGGAGGAGACATATATTAATCTTAATATGCTAACCTTAATACCACTAATATTAAAATCACCAAAGATATATTTGTCATTAATAATATTGACATCGGATAAATTTCGTTACACTATTGTTATTATTGAATGAAAAACAATGTAGGCCTAATACTATTGATTTTGATCAAAATTTTGTATCCATATTGTATACCGTTCTACAATGCTTTTCTGTCATTGGATGGATGACTTTATACTATTCGAAATTAGAGGAATCACTCTGTCGATAATATAAAAAATGCCTCTCGATAGTCTTTTCTTTAAAAAACATGTATCAATAGTTACAAATACACACTTTGTTCCTTCGCAGACACTTTGAGTCTTCTTATCTCTTTCTACCACTATTGTGTCATTGATATATATCTGTTGGTGCTGTCCCTTGAGCACACATTTGGGGTGATTACTGTAAGCAAGTATTTCTTTTTCTGCGAGATTATGATGTTGAAAAAGTGCTACATATGTAAACTCGATAAGTCGGCCAAAATTTTCACCTCACTTTTTTAATATTTAAGTAATTTTAATTCGATAAGTCGGTCATATGCTTATCGAGTTTACATATGTATCACAAGTAAGTGCTCGTTACAGAAATAAACATTACAAACTCATCTTCGTATTGATATTCAAAACCAAAGTTCTGTTCAAGCAATATTATTTTATCAATTTAACTGGGATTGCACCCTTGGCAAAGTCATTTGTTAATTTGATGGATTCATCAAGTTAAACGAACTGGTCATTTGATATCTTTATCTAATAATATATTGGAAATTTCCTTGCAAGGATTTGATGATTAAGATTAACAAAATTTTGAAAATTGAAACTTGCAATCATTTGCATTTGCATGGACGAACATGATTTGGCTAGAAAATAGATGTATCTTTCGTCATCTTTGAAAATATTAAAGATTTCTTGGCATATACTTGTTTATATTTGGAGGCAAATGTTCTAACCTATTGAAAAATTTTTTAGTAAAGCGATGCACAAATATGTTGTACACGGAAACATTAGTCTATTTTTATTTATCAATTACCTACTATCGTCAAAATCTATATTAAATTATATTAATTATTAATATAAAAATGTAGTGCGCCGATAGGTTTATTATTATAGCGCTAATTTTGTATTAGTTTTTTATATATAAAGGAGGACTTCAAAAAAATCACCTACATCTTCTTCTCTTTCTTCTCTTTCTTCTTATTTTTTCACAAAAAAATTTAATTGAAAATTTTTGTACATCGAAAAAAGCCCTTCCATTAAATAATAATAATAAAATGTCCTCTAAGAGAACATCGACACAAGTGATTAGAGAAGAACAAGAAGATGGAACTATAATAGAAAAAACCGTGACAACTTTCATAGAAGAACGAGAAGAAGAAAATGAACCTAGCATTACTACCACATCTGCCACTAATACCAGTGAAACTGGAATTGAATTGAAAAATGATAATGGAGATATCATCACTAATAACGATAAACCAGAGTCACCTAATAAAAGAACATCGACACAAGTAATTAGAGAAGTACAAGAAGATGGGAGCATAATAGAAAAGACTGTGGTAACTGTAATTGAACAAAATAGTGAAGAAAGAGATGAAGAGAGAGGCGAAGAAAAATATGAAGAAAGAAATGAAGAAAAATATGAAGAAAAATATGAAAAAAGTGAACCTATCATTACTACCACAACCACCACATCTGCTACTGATAATAGTCTTAGTGACACCACTAAAACCGGAACTGAATTAAAAAGTGACAATGGTGATGATAATGCAATTATTAATGATGATGATTATTCGGAAAAAAAGATTGAAAAAATTGACAGTACCGCCACCGCTACTAATAATGATAATATTAGTAATGATCCAGAAAAAAACAAAGTATTGGCAGAAACCCCCACGCATCATCAAAGAATTCAATTTGAAGAAAGAGAAAAACCAGATCGTATTACTCCAACTGACCAAAATGACAATATTACAACCGATCCAACAATACAATCTTCGTCTGATGCTGCTACTAATAATAAATCCAAAGAAATTCCTGACGTAGATTCTCCAAAAAAGAAGCATATGGATATTGTAAGTAATCAATCAATCAATTGATTGATTTTTTTCAAATTAACATTCAACAATTATTTATATTTTTTTATTTTTTATATTTTTATTAGGATGAACATATGTTAAACCCTAATGAAGTTTCCAAACGTTACTCTGTTAACATCAATGTCGAGAAACCTCCAGAATCACGTGGTTTAACAGAAGGTCAAGCAAGCAAAATTTTATCAGAAAAGGGTCCAAATGTTCTCACTCCACCCAAAAAGAAACATCCTTTTATGAAATATTTAGAATGTTTATCTACTTTATTTAATGTTTTATTAATTATTGCTGGTATCTGCATGTACATCGTATTTGCTATAGACCCTCAAGATAATCCATCTAATGTTAGTGCTCCTTTTTTTTTCATTAATTTTTATTCAACTTTAATGAAATTATTTTTAACTTTATTCATTCATCCATTATTAGAGTTACCTTGGTGCAATTTTATTGGGTGTTGCTTTCTTAAATGCCTTTATTGAATTCTATCAACTACAAAAATCTGCTGCTATTCTCGAATCCTTTTTAAATTTAATTCCTCAAAAATGTTATGTCATCAGAGATGGAAAACTCACTCAAATTCAAGCTTCAACTCTTGTACAAGGCGACTTGGTTTTCATAAAAATGGGTGATAAGGTTCCGGCTGACTTGTATTTGTTTTCTGTTACTGACATGAAAGTCGATAATTCCTCCTTGACCGGTGAATCTGAAGCTCAGGAAAGAACAAAAACAAACGATCACGAAAATCCTTTAGAGGCTACAAATCTTTGTTTCAATGGTACTTTGGTTACTTCTGGTGAAGGTTATGGTATCGTAATAAGGACTGGTGATCACACTGTTCTGGGTCAAATTGCCGGTTTGACTGCTGGCGAAGATAAAAATAGGTCTCCTTTATCCCAAGAAATCGACAACTTTGTTAAAATAATTGCAACAATAGCTTTATCATGTGCCCTTATATTCTTTGGCATTGGTATGAGAGTTTACAACAACCAGGTCTCACTCACTCTTAGTTTTGCTATATCCGTATTGGTTGCCTGGGTACCTGAAGGTTTACCCGCCACTGTCACAGTGCTTTTAACTATTGCCGCAAAAAGAATGGCTACTCAAAATGTCTTAGTCAAAGATCTTCAAGGGGTCGAGACTCTGGGTGCGATCACACTTTTGGCCACTGATAAAACTGGTACTCTCACTAGAAATCAAATGACCGTCACATATATATGGTCGGCTTTAAATATGTATTCAGCATTTCGTGGTGTTGGCCAAAATGACAACTTACCTTTTGATAGGGATGCTCCTGGTATTCAAGATATCATAAATATCTCCATATTATGTTCCCGTGCAAAATTTAATAGTACTGACATCCCATTCCAAGAACGTGAAATTCTTGGTGATGCAACTGAAACTGGTCTGATTCGTTTTGCAGCTCAAAATGTGGATGATTATGATGATGTTGTTAACTCGCATCCAAAGGTTTTCGAGATTCCTTTCAATTCCGAAACAAAATGGGCTCTCACTATTCACAAGAAAAAACATGAAAATGGTGAATTGGTCTTGTATATAAAAGGTGCCCCCGAAAGAGTACTCAAATTGTGTTCTACCATTTTAACAGATAAAAGTGCTATTCCTTTGACCGAGGTGCACAAAAGAACTTATGATGAAAGGTACGAGTTCATGGCTTCAAAAGGTCATCGTGTCTTGGCTTTTGCTGAATTTTTGTTACCACGTGACCAATATCCAGAGGACACCGAATTTAAAAAAGAAAAAAACAATTATCCACTTAAGGATTTATGCTTTGTTGGTCTTGTATCTCTTGAAGATCCACCAAAACATGGAGTACGTGAAGCTATTGGCCGTTGTCGTACCGCTGGTATTCGTGTCATGATGGTGACCGGTGATCATCCTTTAACTGCTGAAGCTATTGGTAGAAAAATCAATTTAATGTTAAGTGATACAAAACAACTGATGGCTAAACGTACAGGACGTCCTATAGAATCAATCAGAGATGATGAGTGTAATGCTGTTGTAATTCATGGTGAACAAATTGATTCGTTGAGTGATATGGATTGGGAAAGTATTTTTGCCAAGAATGAGATAATATTTGCTAGAACTTCACCTCGTCATAAACTTGAAATTGTCAAACGTGCTCAAGGAATGGGTCATATTGTAGGCGTAACTGGTGACGGTGTAAACGATTCGCCGGCTTTGAAAAAGGCAGATCTTGGTATTGCCATGAATCAATCAGGTTCTGATGTCTCCAAGGAAGCTGCTGCTATGATTTTAATGGATGATAATTTTGCTTCAACTGTAAAAGGTATCGAGGAGGGTCGTCTAATTTTTGCAAATTTAAAAAAATCTATAAGATACACGATTTCTCACTCCACACCACAAGTTGCGATGTCTTTACTCTATGTAATTGTACCCATACCATTACCATTACCACCAATCCTTATTTTAGTGACTGATTTAGGTTTTGAATTATTTGTTGCTCTTTCTTATGCATGGGATAAACCAGAGTCAGAAAAAAGTCTTATGAAATTTCCACCACGTAAACCTGTGACAAATGAATCAATCCAACGTCTTAAAGCTCGCAAACTTCGTCGCACACCAACAATAAGGGATCCGGAAACAGGAGAACCTGTAAAAATTTCAAGATTTTCTTCATTTTTATACACAATCAAAAAGCCATTCACTGCTGAATGGTGGTCTGAATTATTGGAGAGTGAAGGTGGCGAGGTTTTGGTTGATTTGAATCTTTTGAGTTGGTCGTATTTAGAAATTGGTACTATAGAGGCAATCGGGGCTATCGTTTCATATCTTGTGGTATTGAATAGTCATGGAATCTCTCCTTATGACGCAAGAAATATGCAAAATTCAGTAACTGAAGGAGGTTATTTTACTGATAAAGCAAGCACCTATACATCCGTTTATGGCACTGAATTGGATGCAGCTGCTCAAAAAGAAGCAGTGGCTCAAGCAGCCTCAATTGTATACCTTGGTATTATGATTCAACAAATGTTTAATTTGTTTGCAGTGAAGGGAAGATATCGCTTACCATTTGGTTGGTTCATATTTTCAAATCGTCTTAATTTCTATGGTGTATTTGGTGGTGTCGTATTAGCCATGTGTATCGTTTACATTCCACCTTTTAATATTGCTTTCGGAACAAGTTATCACCTTAGTCCATTATTTTGGCTTATACCGATGGCATTTGGTATCTTCATTTTGATGTATGCTAGTTTACGTATATTATTGTTAAGGAAAGCACGGCCAGTTAATCTTAATCCGGAAATTGCAGGATTACAAATGTATCCAACAGTACGTTCTGTAGAAAGAAAGGCCTGATTATGATTGGTAACAAATAATGATTATATTGATTATAGATTGGTAGCAATCTATGCCTTTAAGTCATTTAAAAATAACATTTTAATAATAAAAATTAATTAATTAATTCATAACCTTGTACATTTATAAGTTGTAAAAAATAAAAAAAAAATTTATTTTTTTATTTTCAAGATTTACTTTATTTTTAATAACAATTAAGTTGGGGGGTTAATTTAATTAACAATTTAATTTTATAATTTAGAATTTTTTTATATTTTGAATAAATTTAATAATAATAAAATAATAAACTATATCTAAATTCAAAATTCAATAAAAGTATACACAGATTGAAAGCATTAAAGCTTGGAAAAATATCTATTGGTACCAACTATGAATTTTGATAATAAGCATTGGATGTGTTATTTTTGCATAGATAGGTAGGCCGATTATTTTAAATCTATTCATGATGCCGAGACAATCGGATTAACTTGTCTACTTTGTTTATTCTTTAATTCTTTTTTTTTTGAATTCTACCCATTCTTCAATGCTTAATTATATTCATTGTATTTTTAGTATAAAATTCAACAAGTAATACTCTCAAGATTTAAATTAATTGTTTTATCTCATTTGCCTTGAGATATCTTGTGCAATCTAATTATAACGTCACGTGTATATTTTTTTGTGTTGGATGATTTTTTGTTGGGATAAAACAAAATTTCAATTCAGATAAATTTATTCATTAAAATATGAGTCATTAATTTATGTTTAGAAATAAAATATACTGTACCATGTACAAGACAATTATTGCAAAGCACACGGGTATAAAGTTTAACTTATCAATGCTGTTTTTTGAGTCAAAGTAAATTCTTGAAGTGAACCTCACCTTGATTCTGTGGCAATGCATAATATGTAGGATTTTCCTTTCTCCGCAATTTCCAAAAGTATAGATTCATCACAAAAATTTGTATGTTTAGAGTTCCTATTCGTAATACAAATTCTTATTCGAATTATTCGTTGATTTTTGCTTTATTTGTTCTGTTCGAATTATTCATTCTATTTGCTTTATTCGCTTTATTCGAATTACTCATTTTATTCGTTTTATTCATTTTGTTCATTTTGTTCGTTTTATTCGTTTTGTTCATTTTATTTGTTTTGTTCATTTTGAATAGAAATCCTAAAGACATTCTATTTTTTTCAATTCATATATAAAATTCATCGTCTCCACAAACTTTTAAACTCTTAGTTTCAGGTTCTAAAATACAATGCCTTTGAGTAAGTAAGTTTGTGCCTCCAAAAAAAACTCATTCAATGGTTGTTATTAGATTAGAAAATTAGTGGGTCTGGTTCTAAATAAGCAGAGTGCAAAAATTAGAATACCAAATAGTTTTTAGCCTAAGCTCTGAACAGTTCGATTCAAGCCGAAAATTCTGGTTCGGTTTCAATTTGGTTCAAAGAGTAAACCGAAACCGAACCAAACCGAAATTTTTCAGTTTGACTTTTTAGAATCCGAAACCGGACTGAACCGAAACTGAACCTTTTGGAGCTTTACTTACAGCTTAACGAGAGTTTATATGTGTGTCTGACTTATCAAGAGATTTTTAAATATAAAAAAAAAAGGGCTGGAAATTTTTGTCTGAGTTAAGCCAAATCTGACTTATCAAGTGTCCAACTCATTGAGTTTGCCTATGTACCCCTATTTTTTTTTCCCCAGAATACACAAATTAAAATTTTTTTTTATAGATGAAGAGTTGTCCAAGACAAGCGTTCATTCACCAGTAACATAATATTATTTGGCATGCATGGTATTGTAGTGAAGGAGGAATGGTGCAGTTTGTTAACCAGATACCTATGATTATGGTTGAAATCAAGTTACTTACCACAACAAACGTTTGGTATCATTTTGCTTTTCATAATCACTATTAACATTAAGCATGATATTAAACAAAAAAAGGCAGCATGAATATAAAAAAAAAAATAGCACCTGAACAATTTGGAAACACATTTCAATATATAACATTTGATCATTGTAAATCTCAAGTGTTCAAGTGCATCACTTTATTTAAAACACTACAATCTTTCCTCACATATATAAGGCTAAATTGACTTTCTCCCCTGATAATATGATGATGAAACTGAATTACAGAGAGGGGAGGTGCTCTCCTTAATTTTGATACTGCTCTTGCTACTCATCAAATGGTGGCTTGTAATACTCCTGATGGTTATTCTGACATTGTCTTTATCTGTGGTGAATGTAAAAACAATTATGATAATAATATTCCTCCATGATGTGAGAAATGTGGTAGGTTAAAAAGGAATAGAAACTAGTGTTCCATGTCGCAATCCAAAAAAGGAGACCAAAGTGGTCGCAAAGGTGGTTGCAACCAGGTGTTGCAAACCATCACCAAGAATTGCGACCAGCATCTATAATAGAAACAGATGTTTTTGTAGTCATTTAAAAACTAAATCAACTCAACCACTTTCTGACAAAGAACTACTTTCACAAGCTTTCAGTTTTCGCCTAGAAAATAGAGCTAGAGAACTAGAAAAAGAGTTATCAATTACCAAAGAAGAATTAAAAATTGAAAGAGAAGAAGTAGCCAAGTTTCAGGAAAAATCTGAAGAGTGAAGTAAAAAGCAAAAACAGTAATTATTAGATAAGGTAAAGGGTTTAGAAGAAAGAATTAAACAACTAGAAGAGGAAAACAGGAAATTAAAAGATCAACAGAATGATCAAATTGCTCAAATTGAAGTTAAAGAGACTAAAAGATGATCTTGATTGAAAATGAGAAAGTAGTTTAAAGAGTATTCTGTATAAATTAAAATTCATTCCAACTATCAAAGAAAATGGTAGTTATTTTCCTTTTAAAGATTTTTGCTTTTATTAGGTAATAACGCATCATTATGATGTTTTCTTTTTCTAACACTTATTATTTTTCTTTCTTCTTGGTAAATTTCATAGATAATACTTTCTTTTCTTAGATAAGCTTCAAGTGTCTGAGTATCGTTTATTTGAAAACATAAGGAGCAATTTTTTCACCTTGTTCCTTTTTTAAAATACTTCTAATGGTGCTGTATTTTTTTGGTTCCATAGTAGACCTAATGTAAATGAGTTTCATATTAAATATTTTTGTCTAGACAAATATCATGATCACATCACATTGGCAATACAGTTGTAATGTTAGACAAACATATTGATCCCTGAAATTCTTGGTAATATCAATGTTCACTTTGTCTGGTTTTGTTGCAGTATGCTCCATATACAGTCACACGATTTGTCACACATATTAAAGCCGGGTCCTATCATTCCCATATGATCCACACATTTCATGCATGTAATTCAAAGTTCATAGTACATTTAGCATGCGTAAATGGTCGGTTGATATATTTGTGCGGCCTGTAATGCATATATGGGGTTTTTCAATAAAAACGGACCAAAGTAATTTTGAGTTAGTATAGCTGTTATATATAATTTCTTGCGTAGAATATTTTTGGTTTAGAAACTATACCCATTTTGCTCGATAAAATTTTGAGGTACCTTTCCATTAAAGTTTATTACTGAAATGCTGATCTTTTTTCAAAACATCATTTTCACAACATGGTCTGTTTCTATTGAAAAGTCCCCATATAATAATGTTCTATTTTCCGCATATAAAAAAGTATGGTTTCTCTTTTCTGTTTAAACTCTAATCTCATATTGACTAACAAATACAATATAAATGCTAATAATTTTTTCAGAATAACATAATATTAATCTTGCTACCTAATAAAACAAACGATAATGACCTGATTCGACATTATATATCTCATTTCCTATAATTGTAGGTATTTATTTATGCATCAAAAAGTAGATGTTTGTTATATGAGATAGAATGAAGTTGTAATAAACTTTATACAAAAATTCCACATCCAACACTTTTAAAATTTATTTAAATTTCTTAACATGTCAAAAATTCTCAAATATCTTTGCAGAAAAGGTATTCTTTTTTTCAATATTGCCTTATTGTAAAATAATTAAATTAACTATACTTTAGATAACCACTTTCACAAACTGTAGTGAATGAAACAGCAGTAGAAAGGTAGCTAGAAAATGCAATACAGGTAGGCAGGATAATGGCTAATATTCCTGATGTATAGTATAAATGTTGGAAGCAATTATCGAGTAGTATTTAGTGCCTTCAGCTCTTCCTGCTGTACTTCAAGATGATGAAATTGCTACCACTGTTCTTTATGCCATGAAAAAAATTATGAGAGTCGATGATCAGCGATTGTCATCCAATGGAACGATATGGGATTTAATGATGTCGCTACTATGCCTGGATGTCGAAATGGTGTTCCAGGCCAAACGAAAACAGCTGTCATTGCATTTATTACAACAAATTGAGGAGCAAATGTCAATAATCTCAACTCGGTATTTGTATTTAATGTTTGTAGAATACTTACAAGTTGTGAGAATAGATTGCCCCCATGAAAAAATTTTATTTCGTGTATTTGAATCACTTAACATCAGCTATCTAATTTTTTCATGTTTTTTTTCCTTTTCTTATAAAGGACTCGCCATCAGCCTGGAATTCCGGGTATATGCCATTCAGCTTGTAGAATCAACAAACTGACACAGTCAGACGCACTTGATTGGGAAGGTTTCGAGTTTGCATTTAATCGATGTGTTTATATAAATTGTTTAAAATAAAGTGATCACACATAATTAAAAAATTTATTATTCTCTTTTACTTAATCTCATAAAAATAATTAAAGATTATACTCGCTGATATGAAATGATAAAAAAAGAGTTCAAATTCTAATCACATAATAAAAAGAATCAATTTTTACATTGCTAATTATCATTATGTAAAACGGTAGTAAATGATATTGAGCATGGAATTTCTTTGTGACATAATGTTCACTTTGTCTGCTGGTTTGCTGCAGTACGCTCCACATATACTAAAAAGAATGGCAAATTAAAAGAATACGATCATTTTGAATTTCGAAAAGATGAATATGATCAATGCTGATAGGAAACATTGGGTACCAAAATATGATGTAAAATTAAATTACATTTTCACAAGTAATTGGAAGAAAGACAAATCAGAGAATAAGGTTCCGAACGGATCATGAAAAAAATTGGATTCGAATCAAACAAGATTTTCAAATTGATATTATATTTTAAAAAAAGAAAAATTCAGTCAAACTCATTTCAACAAATTTCTGTGTAAAAAATTATGTACAGTATTGATACTGAATGGATGCGGCAGAATGAATATTAATATGGAAAAACATATTAATACAGAGAATGCATTAGGAAAATTCTAATACTCTCCCGAAATAATATCTCAAAATATTGCTGTGCAAAGTAGATATGGTTTTCTAAGTCAAAGATGATGATTTACATAATGACAAGGAGTGGTCAAAATTGCTTTTTTTTCACGTTATAGTCCTTTTTTTTTTCTATTGTCCAAGCTCCTTCTTTACATGAGCATTTTAATAGTGAAAACATCTACTGCTACTGTTTCTGTATGTTTAGGTACAGAATATTTCGCATGTTTCCACTCATTATCAATTGCGTTTCAACGAATTCTAATTCTTACTATAATTCATTCATTATTTATGTGTATATCGATCTGAATCAAATCAAAGCGAATAATCATGTTAATTTATTTATATATTAGCATTAATCAAATAGTATACATTGATTGATTTTCAGTAGCTATTTTAATTACTTAATACATATAGTAATATATAGAGAGTTTGTTTCACGAAAAAAATTTATTATACACGCATAATAAATATTCATATTTTTTGATAGCAACAGAATCATGGCAATAATAAAAGGAATTTTATTATATTTTAAAAGCCAATATTTTTTAAAGTCTGTTCAATCTTTATAATTTTTCTTTTCTATAACCGTCTACCTTCTTTGTAATTTGAGCTTTTGTATTAAAAATCTTCTGACCAATTTGGTTTTTTGCATCAACAATCTTTTTGACTTTTTCACCAAGTCCTTTAAATCTATCTCTTAATAATGTGAATGTATGCATTGATTTTATATATCTTCAGTAATATCTTTGACGCTTTTGGTATTTTTGAATGGTCCTCCCTTGTTTATTTTTTGGTGATTGTGTGTAGAAGAAACTTGTTAGATTAGCATTAGTCAAGGCTAGGATGAAAATCATCTCCATATATGGTGACCTCAAAAAATTTTTTTGAAAATGCAGATCGGCTTTTTTTTATTTGTTTTATTTGTGGAAAAAAATCATGTCAATGCGTAAAAAAATGAAAGTTGAAATCTCACATCATCCTAGCAATATTATTAATACAAGAAATACAAGGAATACAAGAAATACAAGAAGTAACAACAAAGGCAAAAGCAATAGTTATTGCGAGGATAATGAAATCAATAGTAGTAGCGTTGCTAGTAGTGGAAGTGGAAGCGATATCTGCAAGTCTATTAGCCATGCACTGAAGAAAAACAAGTGTGTAGTGGTGATTGAAAGAAATGACGAGGTGATAAGAGAAGCAAAAAGACAAAGAACAAAGAATACTATGATGGGAAATAATAATTTAATCTATAACTCCAATAATGCTAACGATGATAAAAATAATCATTCTATCAAAGAATATGGATTTTCTTCGAAAAATTTTGCTGATAAAAACCTATCATCAGTACGAAAATCATTTGACAGTTCATTGGAGAGAACTAATAAAAAACAGAAACTACAGGAAGAAAAAGAAAAAGAAGAAGAAAATGTAAGAATAAAAGTAAAGGGTAAAAAGGTAGAGGAAATCAATGAGAAAGACGAGTCAATAAACAATTCATCATTGATAACATCATCTATTACCACAAAAACAAAATCACCAAATATTGAGGAGGGACAATTTGATATTTTGTCATTGGTGCCAACAAACGTTATTCCATGTATTAATCTTAATGATTTAGCATTTAAAAATGGAGTTATGGATGAAAGGCGTAAATGTATTAAAAGATCAAAGATTTTTCCGTTATCAAGATGATCATAATAATGCAACAACAAAATTATTCTAAACTACACGAGGTATTAAAATTAAAATATTGGCAAGTGTCAAGTTATTATTTTTACTGCTAATAGTAATATTCTTAATAAAAATGACTATTTTAAATCATATTAAAGTTCAATTTGTTTTATTAAAGAGAATAATATTCTAAGCTATAATAAGACCTTCATCATCTTTAAATATTTGAAATAGCAATCCATTTCGTGCATGACACATATTCGAATGATAATTTTTTATCATCAAGTTTCCTCAAAGTATCTTCTTCTCGCATGCATCAATTAAAATATCTAAAGTTTTTTTGTACGGAATTTCCATCAATGCTGAAAATAATATTAATGAATCTTGATTTTGATCAACATATGCTAGTAGTAGGTAGTAGTTGTTGGTTTGATCTATAAAATACAGCGAATTTTGCTCCAAGTCCATTATCATTGAATTTTATGTAAATATTTCTGATTCTTGATGAATTGTGTTGTGTACTTGTCACTATCAATGAGGGTGACAATGAAGAAGAAGGTGGAGATTGATGTACTATTACTTTGGAAATCTTGACTGTTTGAGTTTTTTGATTATAATCACTATCTTCATTATTGTTGTTGGTATTGTTATTGCTATTTAAATTTTATTCCATTGTATTCATTGTATCAACTATTATTATATCAGATGATCCATATACACATACATATTACACACATACATTTATATTTATTTATATTAATTATTAATCAAAAAGATATAAACTCTTTATATTGTACCTAAAAGTATTGATTCTTTTACTTCTTGGAAATTATTTGTGGCAATAAACTTTAGAATATCAATTTATGTCTTTATCACAAAAGAAAATGTCACTTTAGCACAATTCACTTGAAAAAAATACAAATTAAAGATAAATCAATCCATTCGTGTGACTACCATTTTAAATTTTAGGAGGCGCAAAAAACTGAACTAATTCGAGTTCTTCTAAAAAAAAGAAAAGAAAAACAGCAGAAAAGTTGCCTTTTTTATCAATTATAAACAATGTTAAACATAATATAAGAATCAAAACATTCTCGCCGTGTAATGTTTAAACGAGCAAGGCAACATGTTAAATAATATCACATTTGTGAACGTCAAGAGATTCGTATGCATCTATATCAAAGTTATTATTTGTTACAATGAATTATTTTTTTTAAATTATATTAATTGATTTCTGTTATATATTAGCATAAAAATTATCATTTTTCGTTTAAATCGAATTAATAAAAATCCATATTAATATGCTACGTACAGTGATAGTAAGTATACGATAATAATTGTTAATTAATTATTTTTTTATCTGTTTGCAACTTATTTATAAACGTGGATTTGCCAAAATCGTATTAATTAGTCAATGGAGTTTTTTCCTAGTTTAAAAAAGCAAATAATTTCTTTGGACTTTTAAGTCATCAATCCTAATGGTAGATGAATTGATTAAAAGAAAGTTTGGTCATTGTAATATTTTAAATTTGGTAATTGTGGAGAACAAATAAATGATTTAATTCTAAAGATGAATTAATAATTCAAAAAATAAAATCATAGGTAAAGAATTTGTTCATACCATTATAACATACTGCAAACAAAATGAACATTATTATTATGTCACGAAATCATGATTTTTTATTAAGCATTTTTTAATTTCTTTGAACATTAAAGATGGCCCAGATTAATCATCAATATATAAAAATGACAACAACATAAGGATTCTTGGCCAATGGTTGAAACAAAGAATCTATCCACCAACAGAAGAAAAATCATCAAATACTTACAATTATCTTTCTTCAACTAATAATTGTAACAATATTAATGTGTGACATGGCATCAACTCTTGTTATGTTCGGCTGAATTCATCTTCAAACTACAGAAAATGATTTTCTTGATATGATTTTACAAATATTTTGGTCAAATTAAATTAATTACGTCTATATAATTTATTTATATTTTTAAAAAATCATGATAAAAAGATAAAATGCTAATAAATAAGTAAAAAACTATGAATATGAATTGGTCGACCAAATGTCAATGGGTTGAATTCAAAAGTATAAACTATCAGTTGTTAATAAATTATATATTGTAAATTAAGTTCAGCAACAAAACCAACCGATAGTTATAAAAAGGATTATCTCAAAAGACATGAACATAGTAAATTTAGGCAGGGCCAGAAGAAAATTCCTGATGTAATCACAACTATAACATTAAGAAATAGTAGCTATAGTAGCAATTCCAGATAGTAATTATAATGAAATTTGCAAAAGTTACAATAATTCAATTCAAAATTATTCATTTCCTCCTTTGCTTCCTCTTAATTCGAGATTCTTCTTTTTCTCCTATTGATGATAACTTTAAAACCTCAAATATCGATAAGATCGAAAACACCATCACATTTGAATTTGGGATGTCCTGGAACCATGAAATTCAATTCAATGCTTTCATAATAACCACAAATTACCAAATATAAATAAAATCAAATTGTTACATTATTTTTATTTTGTCCCCCAGCATTATCACAAGTAATCTTTAAATGCTTTTCACCTTTATTCATTTCCTTAATTCCATCAAAAATCATACTAAGAGTGCCATTGGGTCCTTTTCCTATGATTTCATTTTCATTAAGAACATAATTAATTTGTTCTTTTACTGCCTCATCTTGAATACCAAATAAATGAACTTTACATGGACTAAGATAATAAATTCTACTTACTTGTTGATCTAAATGTGGCACATGAACATTTTGGGCTCAATCATAACTATAATGAACAGTAGCATCAATACTACAATATTGTGTTTTACCCTTTGAATAATTTTGATTAATTAATTTTCTTTGTTCTGCTAATTTAGTGTTTTTATTGTAATAATTTCTTTCTACTTTTGCCTTGGACAGATGCTCTTTAAATCTTTTAAGTAAATCTTTTGCTTCTTCCTCCTGACAAGCATTATAATGTAAACCATCTCTAAAATGTTGACAAGTATCACACAAGTCGGTCCTTGGACTCATAATTTGAATTTCTGGTGTCAATTGATGTCATAATTTTCTGAATGCATCATATTTTAAAGATTTCAATTTGTTATCCTTTTCTAAACCACCCAGAAAATCTCTATACACTGATTTATAACTCATTTCTGCTGGTAAAAATATAACTGATTGGGTTATTCTATTAATGCTTTTTCCTGGACTTGGTAAGCCATGAACTTCTGCATAATTTTCCAGAAAATTCTTTACTACTTCAGCAACATTTTTGTCAATAACCATCTTAGTTTTCCATTGAGGCATCCTTTTAATATTACCATGAACTCTTGCTAGAAGACCATTGTTTATCGAATGATTTCTGGTATTTTCAAAGTAAGTTCTACCAATTCCTAACATATTGAGATAAGTTTCTTGACAAAGTAGTGTATTGTGATCTCAATGGTAGAAAGTTCTTTTATTAGATCTATTTTTCTTTTTAAGGCATCTGCTGGTGCTTATTGATCCATCATCCATTGCTTTAATCTGTGCCATTTAAAAATATGTCTTGTTCTGGTTTAGTGAGAGCTTGAAAGGATTCCCTTAATTCTGTAAATTGCTCCTTGGGAATTCTTGAAGAACAACCACAATCACAACCTTTTTCAAAAAAATCAATGGCTTTTTGATATTCGTTAGAACCATTATACTTATTATTACTTTTCATATATACACTTATCCATATATATAATTTTATGTTCACTTTGTGGGTTTTTTAAAAATTTATAAGATTTTAAGATTAATCTTGTGATAATGAAAGTAGTAGGAGTAAGATAATGGAATCCTGTGAATATTACAAAAGTCATGTAATTCTATTATTTGAAGAATAATCTTGGAATGACTTCTTAAAATACATTTATTTTTAAATAAGCATAAGCTTATAATACAAGAGTTAGGCTAATAAAATGTATATTGTTATGTTCTTCATTACTTGAAAAAAAAACTTATAAAATAAAATAAAATATGATAACTATAAAAAGTTTGAAAATATATTAGAAGGAAGCACATTTCACCCCCAAAAAAGTAGATATTTAAATAAATTTAATAAAAATTTAAAGTTATCTTTCATCAAAAAAAAATAAACATTTTAACCTGAACTATTAACAAACTATCTGTTAACATAATACAATATTAACTTTCTACAATAATTCCACATGATAAATTCTATCCTAATTCTTAGTTGCCATATGTTGAACAGAAATCTTACCATGTGGAACCCTTTTGGCACCAGAAAAATCAATAGTAAAAAAGTAGGAAAAAGCAACAATTCTCCAACAATTATGACAAGTCAAATGCTTGTTGATTTTTTTTTCAATTGGTGGTGGTGGTGGTGACAATGTATATAATAGAATCAGAAAAAACTAAAATGGACTCTAAATCAAGTAAAGTAGTTAGCAATAAAAAAAAACTTCATATATGGTCAATTCGTTCATTTTCAGGTAACTACAAATCAAGCTACAAAATCCCTCAATTATTGAAATATTTTTACAACGAGCACACAATTATACCGAAAACAAACACTCGGACGCTTCGAATTCATGACCAAATGAATCTAGAAACTTTAAATGAACACTCAATTGATTTGAGTTAGCTTTTGAGTTAGTCTTTTGAACATTGTTATTCCAAAGAGCAACGTGTGTTCAATAAATTATATGTAAAATTATTGACCGCATATTAGTTTGCTGTTGATGTGTGGTCAGCGCATTTTAATATGATAGCAATATGCTAACACCGCACATGTCCTAGCAAATAGCTTAAAAATAATCCCTGGTAACACTGTCATCTTTAAATATATACATAATTATTCTGTTATTTTTTTTTTTTTGTAGCTGTCAATACAGACAGGTTTATTAATAATATTGAATACGAACAACCATAGAAAGGGCAGGTTTTTAAATCCACCAGTTTTTTATGAACAATCAGCAGTGTAAAACATTTAGATGTTGATGATCTTTGTGACTATGATTACTCATGAAAGTCAGATGCTTCATTCATTCGATTCTTGGTTCACTCGATGTTGAAATTGTTTTGGGGTTAAACCTAAACGAATAGAATGTTTAGAAATGAGGATCCGTTTATGAACGTACATGTGAAAAGGGGTTTGTCATATAGGGCAATAATATGTTACACGTATATTGATATTTTGTATAACAATTGGATTTTGAAATTATCATCCATCTATCTATATTTGTTGGAGTAATTCTTTTTAATAAAGATAATATTATGACAATCTGTTAGAACACCATAAAAAGACATCTGGAATTGTAGCTGGAGTGCTTTTTCAGTAAACACTAAATCAAAATTTTTTATTCCTCGCCTTTTATTCTCAAAAAATAAAAATTTAAAATGCAATTGTTATTAACAACATCGACATTATCATCAACACCAACACCGTCAACATCATTATTCTGTTCAACACTAGCTTATGATTTGTTGAAATTATTGAATGATACATCAGATCATGATATGGTAATACATATAGGTGGAGGAGGAGGCTATTTTTTTAACAACAACAACAACAACAACAACAACGATAATAGTGGTAATGGTGAGGAAGACATAGCAGTGACAACAACTAATATTGTAAAAACTTTTCAAGTTCATTCCAACATTTTACGTGTAAGGTCCACATATTTTGCTAATTATTTGAAAAAAGAATGGATAAAAAGAGAAAATGGAATTATCCAATTCAGAAAACCAAATATTTCTCCATTTGTTTTTGAAATTATTTTAAAGTTTGTATATTTATTTTTTATAAAGTTATTTCGTTTTTCTTCTGTAAGTCTCAACCAATGTATATATATATAATATACATGCTTTTATTAATAGGTTTATTTATGGAGGAAAAATCATGTTTGACGAAGAAGAGAAAGAACCTTTGGTAATATTTGAATGCTTGATGGCAGCTGATGAATTATTATTGGACGAGTTTATTGATTACACACAAACATTATTACTAAATAAACATATCCAATGGCTTAAAGACAACCTTCCCATAATCTTCCGTATTACTTTTAACACAAATGCATTAAAGAAATTACAAGATTTCTGTTTAGATCGTATTCGCAAATATCCTAATCTGTTATTTGACTCAGATGAATTTTTATTATTGCCAGAAGATTGCTTGGAACAATTATTAAAGGATGATGAATTAGAAATGGAAGAAATGGTGATTTGGGAAAAATTGGTACAATGGGGTATCAATAGAATTATTACGACTACTGGTACTAATAATAGTGATAGTGGTGATAGTGCTGATAATTGTTACTATGGATTCACTAGTAATAATAATAATAATAATACTTACAATAATGATAATGATAATAATGATGATGAAAATGATATTAATAATAATAACAGTATTACTACAATCATTACTACTACCACCAATAACTTATCAAAAGATATAAGTAAATGGAGTTCAGAAAATTTTAAAAGATTTGGGTTAATAATCCAAAAATGTGCTAAACATGTTAGATTTTATCATATGAATTCTAATTACTTTCTAACAAGAGTTAAGCCTTTCAAAAAATCATTGGGTGAATTCTATGACACAATGGAGAAATTTCATTTGCCCATCACCTCCAATAATGCAGTCACCAATAGTTCTCCTTTAACAACAAAGGAATTCACATCATCATTGACAATTTATCGACCAAAAAATCTTACAATTTTGCCATATCGTGGAGCAATAATTTCAACAATTATGAGTGTACACCATGCAATAACTATAGCCTCATGGATAGATAAAATGGATTTAACAAGTAATAATAATGGTGGTGTAGATAATCATAACACTAATAATATTGCTACCACTAGTAGTGCTACCACCACCACCACTAATAATAATGTTGATTATTCATATCCAATTAATCAGATACCATATGAATTTAAATTATTGATAAGAGGTAGTAGAGATGGGTTTTCATCATCAACATTTCATAAACATTGTGATAATGTTGTTGGGACAATAACACTTGTAAAATTACAAGATTCTGAATATTTTGTTGGAGGTTATAATCCAAATATATGGACATCTCATTTATGGCCAAGGTTCAATTATAATACCGATTCTTTTATCTTTAGTTTCATACAAAGTGGTGGTGGGCTAAGTAAAAATTTCCTTGATGACAGTAATGGCAATGGAATTTTCAGTAATGGCAATGAAAATGATAATAACAATTGGAATAATAATGGTGGTAAAATAGCAAGAATAGTTGAGTCAGATCACAAGTATGCTTTAAATTATTGGAGATCAATTGGACCTTCATTTGGTAAATTCGATTTACTAATGGAAAACAATATTATCAAATTTAAACATAGAAGCTATCATCCAAACATTATGCCAATTGATAATGGGTATGCTAGAATTGAAGATTATGAAGTGTTTCAAGTGGTTAGGAAAGCTACTGTCTTGTCTCCCTCATCTTCAACCATTATTAATGCTAATTCTACATCTACTGATAGTAATAATAGTATCATTAGCATTAATAATAATAATAATAATAATAATAATAATAATAATAATAATAATAATAATAATAATAATGATAATGATAATAATAATAATAATAATAATAATGGATTTGGTAGTAATAGTGTTAGTAATTTTATTTATAATATTTATCTTGGTAGTGATATTATTCTTAATAACATGTTGTTAGACACTGAAGGTTATTGATTGACTGTGATTGATTGATTGATTGGAGAGATAAAATATATAGAGATAGAAAACTTATTATTATTTACTATAGACATTATATAGATTATTTGTTTATACTAGAGATAATATTTATTTATTTAATTAAATTTTAATCTAAAATTTATATAATTTTATAATTTAAAATCCCACATGTTTGTTTAATAAATCACCTATTTTATCATTATTTCTGTAAAGGTTCATGTCTTTCCAATTATTCATTTTCATTCTCCCAACATTCTTTACCAATAATTGATAATCTTTAATACTATTCCCATTGTCTTTAATAAAATCACTACTAATAAATCTAAAATTTATATATTTGGTAATAAAATATTTATATTGTATATACTTTGTTGAAATTAAATTTGAATACATTGTTTTTGCCAATTAGTAATTAACTAGTACTAGGTATTATTACATTACAAAACTTATAAAAACAACTTTATGATCTTTAGCTTCTTCCTCTTGGCAAGCATTATAGTGTAAATCATCTTTAAAATGCTGACAAGTATCACACAAGTCAGTCCTTGGACTCATAATTTGAATTTCTGGTGTCAATTGATGTCATAATTTTCTGAATGCATCATATTTTAAAGATTTCAATTTGTTATCCTTTTCTAAACCACCCAGAAAATCTCTATACACTGATTTATAACTCATTTCTGCTGGTAAAAATATAACTGATTGGGTTATTCTATTAATGCTTTTTCCTGGACTTGGTAAGCCATGAACTTCTGCATAATTTTCCAGAAAATTCTTTACTACTTCAGCAACATTTTTGTCAATAACCATCTTAGTTTTCCATTGAGGCATCCTTTTAATATTACCATGAACTCTTGCTAGAAGACCATTGTTTATCGAATGATTTCTGGTATTTTCAAAGTAAGTTCTACCAATTCCTAACATATTGAGATAAGTTTCTTGACAAAGTAGTGTATTGTGATCTCAATGGTAGAAAGTTCTTTTATTAGATCTATTTTTCTTTTTAAGGCATCTGCTGGTGCTTATTGATCCATCATCCATTGCTTTAATCTGTGCCATTTAAAAATATGTCTTGTTCTGGTTTAGTGAGAGCTTGAAAGGATTCCCTTAATTCTGTAAATTGCTCCTTGGGAATTCTTGAAGAACAACCACAATCACAACCTTTTTCAAAAAAATCAATGGCTTTTTGATATTCGTTAGAACCATTATACTTATTATTACTTTTCATATATACACTTATCCATATATATAATTTTATGTTCACTTTGTGGGTTTTTTAAAAATTTATAAGATTTTAAGATTAATCTTGTGATAATGAAAGTAGTAGGAGTAAGATAATGGAATCCTGTGAATATTACAAAAGTCATGTAATTCTATTATTTGAAGAATAATCTTGGAATGACTTCTTAAAATACATTTATTTTTAAATAAGCATAAGCTTATAATACAAGAGTTAGGCTAATAAAATGTATATTGTTATGTTCTTCATTACTTGAAAAAAAAACTTATAAAATAAAATAAAATATGATAACTATAAAAAGTTTGAAAATATATTAGAAGGAAGCACATTTCACCCCCAAAAAAGTAGATATTTAAATAAATTTAATAAAAATTTAAAGTTATCTTTCATCAAAAAAAAATAAACATTTTAACCTGAACTATTAACAAACTATCTGTTAACATAATACAATATTAACTTTCTACAATAATTCCACATGATAAATTCTATCCTAATTCTTAGTTGCCATATGTTGAACAGAAATCTTACCATGTGGAACCCTTTTGGCACCAGAAAAATCAATAGTAAAAAAGTAGGAAAAAGCAACAATTCTCCAACAATTATGACAAGTCAAATGCTTGTTGATTTTTTTTTCAATTGGTGGTGGTGGTGGTGACAATGTATATAATAGAATCAGAAAAAACTAAAATGGACTCTAAATCAAGTAAAGTAGTTAGCAATAAAAAAAAACTAGAACTTATAGTAGAAAAATTCCAACTACTTAATGAGAAAAAAGCCAGTCAGCATTCTAATTTCTGTCTAATAAAATAATGATTAAAATTCACAAGTTATTTGGTGAGAAAAAAAAGTATCACTGATTCCACTATAAAAATTTCTACCAATGAATGACAAATTCTAGGAAAAAACAATAGAAGTGACTCAGAAATAGTTTGATAAAAAAAATAAAGCATTGAAGGAGGATTACTAATTAAAAATGTTAATAAAGGAAAGATAAATAGAAACTCATTACAACTACCAGCTGATGCCAGGCATAGTCATAATGATTACCTTTACAAGCAAGAATGATCACTGGACAGATGCCAGGCATGAGCACACCTTGCTTGTACTTCTACCACAACCACCAGCTGATGCCAGTAGGGTTTGTATTCATGAATATCATAAGGGGGTCACACATGGTCACACACTATTAAAATCAAGTGATCAACTCATGTTTTTAAGGAATTTTTTGCTGTTTTAATAGTGTGTAACCCCCTTAATGATATTCATGAATAAAAACCCTAGATGCCAGGCGCAGCGTAGTAGGGCTTGTAAAGGGAGGTTTCACTAGATGGTTTGATAGTGAGATTGTCTCCACTTTACACTTCCATGGGTCAACTACCAGCTGATGCCAGGCATAGTAGTCATGGGTATAAAGAGTAATAATATTATTCATTTTCTTTTAGTCCAAAGATAGCTCAGAGAAGAATTTGTGGAGTTGGGGCTCTGAATTTGTTGTTATTGCATTTGTGCCTTTTCTTTTCAAAGAAACTGCTGACATTATGAAGAAAATCATAAAATAGTGATAATTTTCTCATTAGAATTGAAACAAGAAACCAGTATTTAAAGTCAACTCTTGTTTGATTTTTTTTTTTTTTACAGTGTAGGCTTAGAGCTCCATTTCATTGTTCAAGAAGATCTTGTTATTTAGTTGATGAAGCCACCTCAATAGCTAAATCAAGTGAATCAACTTGAGATTTTGTTTAAGGGTAGAGTTCGGTTAGACAGTACATCATATAGAATGTATGGAAAAAATTTTTTTTTTGATCAATGGAAAAAAAAAATCAAATTTTCTAATCCTTCTGCCGTAACCATAACTAATTTATGGAATTTTTTCCCCATACTAATTTAAGCACAACGGCTTACCTTAACTACAAAATCATACCTTTACCTATATAAAGGAAATTGAACATAGAGATTTCAAGAACAATCTAATCAAGGCAATTTTCATCAAAGAAGGATTAAGAACAAGATGAGTTGTTAGAAGCCTGATACAAGATCAACATTTTTATTAATTATTCTATTTGAAAGCTTGTGCTGCAGATAAAATCTATATATATCTGGTAAAAATTATATCAAATTTATTAATAATCATTATTTTTTTTATTTATTAGATTTTCAAGTATGTATATTTAAAAATTAATTCTCTTATTTTATACTTAGCTTCACTTAAACATCTAATATGATAACGTTGGTGATAACGTGTTGGTGATAACATTTGGTAATAGCATTGATGATGACGTGTTGATGACGTGTTGAGGCTTCAGGTCCTTATTAAAAGTCGCACTATAATTTATGAGAATAAATAAACAATAAATAAATAACCCTGTCCTCTTGAATAAATTTCCATCACAGTTCTATTTCTATTAATATAATAATAATATCCATCTTCTGGGTTTTTGTAATATCTAAAAATCGTAAATGCTTATCTAAGAATATGCTGTAAATTTTTTGTACGCGTTTGATGAAGTCAAATGGACTTTTTATATGTACAAACCCATTTTTTTACGCAAAATTTAAATTTTTGCCATATTAATATGTTATTATGTGTAACTGAACTCTACTCTTAAAAAAAAAAGTAACGTTTTTTTTGCTGTGTATAAGTCTGCCGCAACAATTGATTATTGAAAGATAATAAGGTTCAGACTGTATAAAAATGAATAACCAACTTACCATCATTGAAGAACCACGTTTAAAAAGTACAAAATATTTCGATTATAAATGTTCACCTCAAACCTTGGGATTACATAACTTTTTCATAGACGAACCAGCATCTAAATGGTGCCTTGAAACTTTCGTTAATAGAGTAATAAAAAACAAAGAAACAGAACTCAATTTTGATCAAATTCAGGAACTTTTCTTAACCAACTTGGATCAAATTAATAATCTAAAGAGTACACCCCAAAGTGTTCATAGCTTTTGTGAAAACTATATTAACTGGTTACAGGTAACTTTTGATATAATAACGTTACCACAATTAATCTGAATATCAATACCTATCTAAGATGTGGAAAGGGAGGGCTGTTTCGAAAGCTTGTTGTGAGTTTTTTGAAGAAACCATTGAAAGAGAAAAATTAGTGCTACAAAAGCGAAAGCAAAAAGAGATTCTTGAGGTGTGGGTTTATTTATTTTTTTGGGAAATTGATATGTTTTTTTTCTTGAAAGTTCAGAAAATTTATGTTATTACTAGGAATATGTGAGCGAAAATGCTAAATTTCAGGCATTTGAGAGCAGTATGCAACTTCCAAGAAGGGAGAAGAGGAAAATAACATCACCACCACCTCGGGAAAGCACCTCCGATGATGAAGATGTACTTCTGACAACACCAAACAAGAAAATGTTGGAAAATGAAGATGTTAAATTGTAAGTTTTTATTTTTAATTATCCATATCGAATCTGGTATCACATTTCTTTGATCGAGTCAATTACTTGTTTTTAGATATGTCGAGTCAATTCCCATTGTATGTGCATTTGGTGTAAATATATTCAAACTGAAAAAATTATTAGGGAATGATTTAGCGAACCAAATCTCTGAGTATCGGGACAAAACACCTTCTATATGGACAAAAGAACTAGAGAATTATTTAGAATATGCATTGGATGTAAGTCTCACTAAGATCATTTAAATTATTATTTCCAAAATTTATATGTAATATCTATTGCTCTTATATAAAGCAAACAGGAAAACAATTCAAGATGGCAATACAGAATGAAATAGAAGGAGAATCGGCTAACAAGTTTAGGTTGTATATTGAAAAAGTTTTAATGGATTTATAAGTATTGAGTTATTATTATTGTATTTGGAGAAATTACCTGTAATGCTTTTGTTTTGCTACTCTTTTACAGTTATAATCTAGTGGATCTTTTTCCAACACACATGATTACAATTAGGGAGCGAAAATTTATTGTATGCCATATCTCAGCTTTGTTCAAATTTTACGAATCAACATTTGGAACTTTGACATTTGACTGGATTGAATCTCATTCACAGGCTGCAAAAGTGACTAAATCATCAACAGATACCGGGATTGTAAAAGTAGATATAAAAGGTATATATTTATTTATTTAATAATAAGTATACTTCTTAAGGATGAATTTTCTGATTCAATATTTATATTCTATTCAACAAAAAAGGAACTCGGAATAGAGATGGAAATGATGTCTGGCACATTGGTTGATTAATTATAATATGAGTTCCTTTCAAAAAAAAAAAAAAAAAAAAAAAAAAAAAAAAAAAAAAAAAAAAAAAATAACCTTAATCTTTCCTTCTTTATATATTAATATATGATATATTCAGGAAGTAGCAGGTCCACCAGGAAACCAAATAATAGCTCACACTGCTGGTGACACCAAAAAAAATTGCATACTGATATTCTAAATTTGGTGGCTATTTTAAGAAATCACCTTAATATTGATGTGAACATAGCAAAACAGATTAAGGTTTTTAGCACACAGGTTATAGGAGCATAGTGGACATTCGTTTTATCACATGTGACAAAATCGATCGTTGATCTTTTTTATAAAGATAACGAGCACATTCCAGTTGTTCTGAAAGACATGCTAAAAATTTATAAGAAAAATAAGAATTTAAGCTTATAAGATTTTCCACTATAAAATTATTATTTTTAAAGTTACCATAATGCATTGGTGTTTCATTATCAACACTCTAAAAAAAAATTTAAATTTAGAAAAAAATAACAAAGAGTTATAATTATAATATGAATTTAAATTAAAAAAAAAAGATTACCAAAACATTTATATCTGCATCATTTTCAATTAACAATTTAACAATATCTAAATGTCCACGATCACATGCCCAATGTAAAAGTGTCAAGCCCTATATCCAAAAAAAAAAAACAATGATTAATTAAAGAAATAAAAAAAGAAACAAATACAAAATATTATTCTTGAGTACCTGATTGTCTTTCTTATTTAAATCCGTTTTTTTATCTTGATCCAATATTATTTCATTTACTTCATTCAACTTGCCTTGTTTCACATATTTAAATATAGCATCATCATCTTCTTCCCTTATTTATAATATAAAACAATAAAATGTAAAAATTTCCTAGTAGTATTTATATTATTATTAATATTAAATATCAACAAACTTTGAATTGTCATCATCATCTTCATATGACATTGTAGAAACATAAGTCCATCTCTCTTTTGGATTAGATCCAAATTCCTATTTATTCATTATGTAAAAAAATATAAAATGAATATATAAATATACAAAAGAAAATAATGATAACAATTCTTCATTTAACCTCAAATTCATTTTCTTCATTTTCATTCTTGTTACACTCTCCTTTTCTTTCACTATCATCATCATCATCGTCATCATCATCATTTAACATTTTATATCTGTCCCAACCAACATTTGCCTTTTCTACAATGTCAATATATTGTAACATGGCTTGTTCTTTGGTGATGTCATCCTTCTCTTTCCATGCATCCCATTTTGCTCTACCCCTAAAATCTAAAAGTGATGGTTTTGATGTATTACAATTTCCAACTGTTGCAATTTTAAAATTAGCATATAACTATTTATCAAATAAAGTTATTAATAACATTCATCGAATTAATCAAATTAATACATATACAATTTTATTACTTGAAGTTTTATCTCATTTGGAAAGTTAACTTTTTGATTTTTATTTAGAAAATTGTAAGCCGATTTGAATTGAATTGATAAAATATCATCAATCATCATCAAACATTTCTTTTTTTATTTTATGAAAAATTTTAATTGACGATTTGCGGACATTATATGGAGCATGCTGCAACAAAACCAAAGTGAACATTGGTATTACCAGAAATTTCAGGGATCAAAATTGGCGTTAATCCCTCTATAAATATATTAATATTAATATTAATATGATTAATTAGTGATTGTCATACAAAAATATAAAAAATGGGGGAAAGCATGCACCACTTATAGATTTTGATTAGTCTAGAGTTGCTAGTGTTCCATGTCGCAATCCAAAAAAGGAAACAAAATGGTTGTAAAGGTGGTTGCAACCAGTGGTTGCAATCGTT